CTGGATAAAAGATAAAAAAAAACCCGAATAATTCGGCCCGCACTACAACTCAATCATAGTTGTGTTTGTTCATGTTCTATTAATACAAACGATGTCAATATGTTCTTTAATCAATTTGTTTATGGTATCTTTAAGCATTCCATGAAATCGTTTTTAAAATTGTGCATAATGTTCATTTATCGTAAAAAGAAGATGCCAGCAGATATGGTACTGACATCGATGCCCCGTGTTATCAAATGGGTAGGCGTTATCAGACTTATCAAACTAATATTATCATTTATTTTCAAATAACGTCTGATATTGTGCAATTCTTAGTAGACACATTTGTTTAAAATGGAAAACAAATATGCACGGAATCACGGGAGTTTTAAGAATAACTGAACTTTCAAACAATACGACCAATATTCCAGGAGGAACACAACTTAAAAACAAAAGAGAAAAAAAACTCTAACATGAACGGATACACTGGCTTGTTTCAGTGTGTTGTTTTAGATGTTAGAACAGCATACTAATTTGAGGAAGGTTATTCGTAATATTTCTCTTTGATTTGGCTCTACATTTAACAGTGCTAATTTGTTGATGTGTCTATGGTAGATTAATTGCGTATCTGTTGTAAATAATTATTAGTCTTTATCTTTGATGCTTGTTTTTACCCCTTCCAAATTAATTTGTTTAATATGAGACAACTATATCATGCCATTGCATTTTGCTTCTTTGTTTTGGTGTTCCATATTTTCCCATCTCAGTCGGCTTAATCCTATCATTCAATATGGTAGTATTTTGATGATCCAAGTGACGATATTAAATGTGACATGTACTTGATATTAATTAAACTTAAAACGCATGGATGAACTTACATGTTGTACGTGTGACGAGGAAGATCTGGAAAATGTCCTAAAGATCTGAAATAACAGTCCACTGAAGAGCCTGATGAAGTTGAAGGACAAGAACAAGACGACTTGTGATTACAACAAGAAAGGCGAAAACAAAAATGTCTACTTTCTATCTGAATATATTACATCGCTGAAAATAAATAGTTATCATTACGAAAATGGTTTACTAAAATATAATAAGAAATAAAGTAAACAATGCATGATCTCAACTACACATTATTATTTTTAGCAAAAGCAGACATGGATCCAAGAAATCTCTATAAACCGATTGGAAACTGTCTGATTGGCTTATTTCCAGCATACTATCTTAGTCATGTCTATACTCCATTTGAATTTTGATGCATAGTTGTCTCCTTGGCAATCATATCACATATCCTTATTTTTATATTATGTTAGTAAAGTTCGTTACAAAAGCATCGTACTTATAATATTTAGTGATATTTTATTTATTAATGAATTAACGACCAGCAAACATTTAATATATTCCATACATAATCGTGGTATTTGGTTTATTGCAGAAGATATTAGTTCAGGCTAATGATGTGTTGCTACATTATGCATCAACATTAAAAACACGCTAAAAGTTAATTAGAAATAATGTTATTACCTAAAGTTAACAATTATGGAAGGCTAAACTGATTTCAACAGGTTTGACGATGTCTGATAACTATCATTTTTATACTTTTCATTCAGAACATTGTTTTTACTGACATGAAAAGAGAGACACAACATTTCATAGGTAGTCTTTTAGGCTTACCAAACATTCATATATCAAATTACTGAAGTATACATTAACGTAACTTCCCCTGCACATTTTGAACTATTTACAATTTTGGTGAGGTATATATGCTTATTACATAGCATTTATTGGTTATTTTACAATTTGTTTCTTTTTCATCCTTTTAAGGGACATAAAAGTTGTAATTTTGCAAAATCTTATGTATGCCTTTGCACTTGTTGGGGAATGTGACAAATCTTCAGAATTATCTCCTGTATTAATTTCTTTACATCCAAATGCAGATCAGCAGCGTGTTAGATACACACAAATGTCAGATAAGTTCCAAATTGAAAGTTGAAAGCAATTAAAGAACCCATTAAGCTATTTAGTGTAACCTAAAAAGAAAGAAACCAAATGACAAACAACAGTACACGAAACACAACATAAAATTAAACTTAGCAACACAAACCCCACCAAAAACCGGGTTTGTTCTCAGGAGTTCCGGAAGGAAAAGCAGATCCTGATCCCCATGTGGCACCCGTCGTGTTGCTCATGTAAGTACAACGACGGTGATAAGTCTGATACGGTAGGTTCCATTTGGGGAAAAGAGACGTTACTAATAGTTCAATCAAGAAACCATGCATCTTGATAATGTCAGTTTCAGAGAATCGATTGTTGAATTAGAGTGATTTTTTACAAAGAACGATTTTTTCCTTTTTAGGACAAGATACCTGTATCTACGTTGGCCATTCTTTTTCATGAAACAAACAGGACCAACTCTTTCAATTTGTCCATTAGTTTTGAATGGAGAATAATTGTGTCAAGTGTAGAAAAGTCAAATGTTTTTATACTATTGCAAGATGAAAGAGTGTTAGCATGTAGGTCCTCTTAAATTGTTTGGATTTTTGTTCATATGGGATAATACGGTAATGGTCAGTATGAAATAGTCCCTCGTGACATAATTCACATATTTCCAGATTTGATTTAGGATGTGCCATGTTGAATATATAAAAAAAATGTATGGACTATGCAAATCTCACATTACAGTTTCATGTTATGTTTTTGTTTAATGATTGGTTTCACATTAGGCTAACGACTAAATGTCGCATTTTAAAAATTATTTAAATCATGTTTAAGACATTACATACTACTTAATACGGAGTTGCGTCCTAAGCAAGGTGTAGTTTTTAATTACATAATATACAAGTTTTATACTATATACAAAGGAATTCACGTAGAGTCATTATATTCATTTTAACATAATATGTGTTAGTCAAAATATTGACACGCAAAACAACGTACTAGAATCGGATTACACAACTTTTAGTCTTAAATAATGTTTCCTTTCTGATTTAACGCTGATGAATAACGTTTGATAACAAACCTTTCTATAATTTCATGGTATAGCATACTAATGCTAACACAGAATATTACTTAGTAGTCTGTGTTGATTTACAAATACACATATATTCAATTACTGAAGTAAACTTCACCAAAAATGACCCTCACCAAAGTGTTTTACTAATCTTTGTAAACTACATTGTTTTTGCCAAGGTGAATATACGCCCATGATAGAGTAAAATAGAACGAAAGAAGACATACACCAAGTTATTTCTTTATGAATCCTACAACATATAAATAATCTACAACTTCTCTAGGCGTGGCCATGCAGATTAACCATGTGGTATATCAAAATGATGTCAGATAAGTTGAATGATCAGAATTTACAATAATAATACACCTATACACAGAAATTCGATCAATGCTTCTTCACTCAACAAAATTATTGAAATTCAAAATTTTTATTTTTAACATTAAAATGGTCAACACAATTCAACATTTGACCTTCAACAATAATCATGATTTCAACATTCACAACTTTTAAAAAATGAACATTAAATATCCGATTATCAACATATAATACTGGAGTTATACATTCAATAATCAACAGTTAACATACTTCATCTGTCAATGTACACATTCAACAGTCGATGTGAATGTTGAACGTCAATGTAAATTTAATATCGTTGATACTATTAGTTACATGGTGTGTTAGTGACCTTATACGATATATATGGGGTCAGTAAATTCCATATGGGATAAGAGCGAAGCTCGAAGCTCGAATCCCAATATAGAATTTACTGACCCATATATATCGTATTAGGTCACACGCACACCGTGTACCTAATTTATCTTACCGACTATCTTCACATGTGGTATTTCGACTAGCGGCCTATCAAAGTGATTAAGTCTTCAATTTTTAGTATTAAGAACCTACTTCCATTTGTCTATACAAAAAACAAATGCCAACAATAACAACTTGTTAGCTTTAAATTTGTTTTATGAATTTATTTCAATCGGTCATTATTAATTGCTTTGTCTGTTGAAACCTTTCAGATTTCATTTTTGTTTTGAAAGGGAAGTAACTCCTTACTACCCCCATATGGTAACTTACCCCATATTTTTTAGGACACTCTATATCAAATATATGTAGTCACCACATGTAGTTTTTTAACCAATCATATCCCCAGAAATCTTTAGGAGGTAAGATAATATCAAATACACAATCTGAACGAAGCAGATTTTTTTCATCTGATGCAAGACAGTAAAATGATTGAACTAAGCATCAACGTGGGATTAATGTATTGATATTAAAACATGAGACATCTCCGAGTAATAAAGGACATTGTGCTACAAGGTAATAATGCCAAACAAATACCGTTTCTAAAATGGCCATTGTCAGTGTATTACTGTTAATGAACATATAAAACACACACCATTTATAAATGTGGATATATATTGTATTCCCGTAATCAATTAAGTTGATAACATTTTTGATTTGATAAAATACGTTTACTATTTGTGCAACGCACTTGCCATATACTATCGCTTTTCATAGTTCCTTTTGTTTTAATGAATTTACACGTACATACCCCGAAATGTTCAGGATGACGTTATAGTCCCCAGAATACAGTTTTACAGAATGCTGTTAAAACATTCATCCTTTGTGATGCTGTTTTAAAACCGTGACAAAGATGCTTGGTGAATTGGTAATGAAAATGTAGAAACAAATGTCGTTAGCTAATACAACTTCACAATTTTCTAACCAGTAAAACACATACTCGAATACACTGATGAAATTTAGGTCAATAACATAATGCAATCAGATAAACTAGTATCTAATTTGCAAACATGGCGCATATTATTCGCACAGTACTTACAATTCTTACAGGGGTAAATTCAGTAAACGAATATACGTCATCAATGACTGCCTATTTGGGAGAGAGCTTTCTGTATAACACTGAAGTCCTGTTTCCTGTGATAATGTTTTAATAAATATTTTTTGATAGATGGATCAAAACAAGAGTTAAAAAAAATAAAATAAAGCTGAATGCACTAAATATTAATGGAATGAAAGCTTTTTGGAACCAGTTAAAGTTGTTTTACATACAAAATTCATGTTTAAGGCAAGGATGTACTAAATATACTGTGGAAGGAAGCATGGGGGTATATGGTAAAAATCAGTGTTGTGTCCAGATTTAAAGAAACAATAGAAATTACACTTTAGAGTTGTACAATTAATGAAAGGCATAACTATTCTCCCCATTTTACATCAAGTTTTGCACATATGTCTTCTAATAATGTGTAACATCATATAATAATAACATATAAAATGAAATTAGTCTCATATGGGTGTTATATCATTTATATCTCTCATATGGTGAATGTTAGAAATATTTCGTCTCTTTTTGTTAGTTGACTATTATAAATACACGAAAGAGAAGTCCCATTTCAGTGTTGTATCGTAGTTATTATATCTTGTTTTGATATAAATGCAGACTTCATGTTGAATTACAGAAAAAACTTTTGTTATCTGTATGTCTGCCTTGCATTTCTTTCCATCTTTTTTCCGACAAACATATCAATGCATTCAAACCCGCTCGTCCTAATAAAAAAAATAAAGCAAGAGTATCATGATATCGAATATTTGTTTAATAATAATCAGTTATCTGTTAGAACTATATTTTGTTAACAAAAAATATTTCGTTACTCTTTATTGGTTAAGGTACCATACATAGAACATTGACACACCAGTGTGATTTAAAATTTTACAATAGATGAACTACTGGTCGGTTTATTAGTCAATTGTTCAGATCAGCAAAATTGAAATGGTTTATTCAATTCAACCTGTGGTTTTAACGTTTAACTGGACCTTTATTTACCTTTATCTACCTTTATCATTTATTGTCTATGTAGTATACCCCTTCGTTTATGTTCGATTCTTTTCATGTGAGGATGTTTGCTCCTCAGTTTTATAATAACAAGCTTAATATAAAAAATGCTACAAATAAATATTATATAAAAAAAAGTCATTTAAAAGCAGAAAAAATGGTAGGTTCGTGTCCTTGTTCTTGAGAAATAATCAATTGAAAACTTGGCGGAAAAAGATTCTCTTTAAATTGTTAATACATTTTACATTGGCCCTTTTTTCAAAAACTATGCAAAAATAACAAGGATTTAAAAGATTTTTAAAAACGACTTTGTCAACTATATGTTATAAAATAAGGGGTTAGCATGCAAACTTTTAATTGGCACTGCATGGATAAAACTAGAAGATCCGAATATCTGACAAAAAAACTAAAAAAAAACAACAAAAAAAAACAACTTAGCAAACGTCCTTAATTGTAGTTATTAACAAATAAAATCGTCATTTACACTAATGTCTATAAAACAAAATACAGTTCTGTAATTTTGGTAAGATCTTTTACATTCCATATTATTATCTTTTGATGCACTATTAACCATGTTTTATGTTTTAACAATTGGAAAATGCTTGATTCTTTGTTTTGCCAAAATGTTTGTAAAGTGGGTCTTAAATAGATTTATTTGTTTTGAATTATATATATATATCTTATACGTATACATTTCAAACCATTTTACTCTAAAATATGTGGGAAACATGGAGGTAAAAATGGATCACACTTGAACTATAAAAATGCACTCTACATTGGTAAAGTCAATATTTCCAGAATCGGTATTTACTTTTAATGATAAAACATTTAGAGACAACAAAGACATATGTGAAAAAAAAAACAACGGTAAATTAGAAAACAAAAATTTTGTCAATAATAAATCGCACACCAACTCCTAACTACATACAACTTCAAGTTGCTTTTCAATTAAAATCTTCTCCCGAAAATGCCCATGCAACGCCACATTCACATTAGCCCCATGTTTAAGTTTATACAAATGCTGATGGAAAACGAAAATTTAAGTGCTTTTTAATGACGGATTATTTTCTTTTATTTCAAAATTTCAAATTAAATATGGTTGGATATTTTTTTTTTATCTTTTAACCAAAAAAATCAAAAGTTAACTTAACGACCATACCATCCATACTGGTATCTCATCAGTCCTTGGTTATAGTTTTTACTATTTTTGTCTATATTTTTTATTTAGATTTAAACTGTTAACGTGTGACATTTTAAACTGTTAATGTGTGACATTTAAAACTTCAAATCAGAATTTCTCTTTTTTCTTATCATACACAATCAGGACTTAGACTGATACACATAAAACGTCGTTAAATAATCGTTTAACAATATTTAAGATGTTTGATTATGCTAAATGTGAAACGAAACAAATACTTCTGGAACAGTCCTATATGTTTAACAAGACAGAAACATGACAGTCCCCCTTTTTGCATCAATTTGCTTTTGGTGTTTCTGTCATGTTGGTATTAATAAAGTTTGCCTAAGCTTCTGTGTAGTGAAAAAAAGCAGTTTTCAATCACAAAGTCTTTTGCGATGTTTGAGAACTTGATGTAGCCTATTTGTGGTATCGATTTACTTAAAGCTTTGTAAACTTGACTAAAACACTAAATTTATATGCATACATTTTCTTACATCATGTAACCAATATTGCATATTAATGTATGTGTTCTCATATATATCTTAATTGTACGGTATTCTTTGGGACAATACACAGGAGAGGAACCGTGATAACGGTAAACACATAATGTTAAAAGAATGTAAAGTTGTGGTACACGAATCGTGTGAATGGAGATATACTTCTAACTATTTAAGATCTACACCTCTTACTCAGAAAATTAAATGCTAATAAATTTATTTTTATCAATCTCATTATATTACTATTGAAGTTGTAACTTACTGCATTCGCTTGCTCGTTATTTTATCGTCATACTCCGCATCTTCATCTTCTGTTACAGATATTTATCCAGATTCTTTCTCGTGTTATCATAGAATCATGAAATGATAATAGAACAGTGCATTGATGTATAAGTTTTAGTAATTGCATTCACAAATATTAGGTTTATACTCAATAGATTTAAAAGACACATGATTGACTTTTATACCTTATGTAAATATGTTTAATTATAAAAAGAACAAAAAACGAAAAGATATAAACAATGTATGTAATTAGAGGTTGGCTTATCATTTATGAATTAGATAAAATATATAATACACCAACTCCTAAAACATGTCATGTGTTAGCAATCTAAGGTACACTGTATTACAGATAGATAAATACTCGAACAATAATTCATCTACATATGCTATAATAATAGCATTTTACATAATGTTTTACGTTGCTTCTTTTGTTCTATTTGCAATTTGTGCTAATTACATGTTATGCAATATATCAAATGAAATGCAATGTAAACAAATTAAATGGAAAAAGTGATCATGCCTTCCAAATATAACGGATGCTATTTTTTTAAAACAATATTTATTTTACTTTGTAATTAAATATAACACAACTTACCATGACAATAGTTAACACATCTGTCGCCAAACAAACACTGAGCTGTACCATTCATAGGCTCTATATAGCAGTCACCAAATCCACAGTCATATGAGATACACTGACTGTCTGTTAATGTATGAGTGTGAAGTTAAATAAATAATAGCATATTAAATGCTGAACTGACGATTTACCTTACTTTCTGTATGTGCCAAATGAATTGGGTTGTCTTTCGAAATTTAATATATACATGTTGTTTATGTTGTCAGATGGTATAATTTTACTAGTGTGATAATTGATTTGGCCAATGACTTTCATAAAAGTCAACATTACAGAACAGTACAACTGAATGTTGAACATGGGGCATGTGCCTCATACGTTCTGTGTAGCTATATCAGTTATTGTGATTAAGCATTTCTGTGAAAGTCTCCGTTAAAAGCACACACAAGTTCTAAAAGTTATTCAGGTTATAAAGTTTAGCGTAGGTAAATATAAATAATTGGTTATTACATTTTAGGGTTGGAACACTACTGATGAAGATAATCCGGACATCGCATCAAATGTATTACATGTATGAATGGTATTTTTACTTCATTTGTTAAAATAAATATCATTATTCCAATATTAACTGCATTCTTCCTGTGAAAGTAAACTGCCTTAGGCAACAGGTGTTTACTGGTCCAATACAAATACAGTCATAGCTAGGTCTGTAATTCTAGCTGACTGGCCGTGATTGCAATTTAGTTATGTATAGGAAGTAGCATGGTTTTAATCATTTAAGCATTGGAAATAATTATTAGAAAATGAAAGTCGGACCTCTAATCTAAGAAAATGTCATCTTGAATTTCGATGGTTACATTAAACCTAATACATGAATGTAATTGTTTCATTACTATTGTGTTATCTTGAAATATACTTAATAAACACCTTGACAAAATTCACCGGTCCATTGTCCAATGCAGTCACAAACAAGTTCATTGACCCTTGCCACACATTTCCCACGATTGAAGCAGTGGCATTTATCAGCTAAAATATAACAATATTACCATTAATTGTTATAGAAATTATTCTAATATCTAAAAATTAACAAATACAGCGATCGACAGTCCTTTAATATGTGCGACAAAATTAATAAAATGAAATGAATTATTCTTTTTATGAACAAATTGAACAATGATTGCTGATGCAATTATATTTGCTATCATCATCCTAAATGGTTATGATGATGTTTCTGTCATGTTTTAAAGAAAAAAAATACAGAGAAATCGAAGCATGCTATATTGAACTTTTAATCTGTTATTTAACAAAGGGGTGAGAGATTGAAATGGGCTTTTTCACAATTCGAAGTAATGACGTCACGGTCGAGAAAAAGAGATCTTTGTTACAATTGCAACAAATCTATTGTCAGCTATGACACAGATATTCAATAACGGTTTGATCAACTCGTGATTGAGTTTCGAAAGGATAAATAGCTTCCGTAAGCAAACATTCTATATTTACAAGTATAGCATGACAGGAAACGCAAGCTTGGAAATTAATTCAATATCCAAAATCGAGCCAACACAGTGATCGAAAGACCTTCAACATATGCTATCGGATATACAGTTATTTGTTATGCAATCAATTATTTAACTTATTTAAAAAAATTACATCAATTGCAGATTTATATTGTAAATCATCGTTTTAAAGGGCAATACAATAGGCTTCACGAAACCCAGGAACAACCCGGGTTTTCTCAAGTGGTATGGAAGGGTAAGTAGATCCTGCATCACACGAGTCACACGTTGTGTTGCGTATGTTAATACAAATTCGGTGTTATCTATCATTGAAAGACTTTACCTTTGAGGAAAAGAGGTCGGAAATTTCATTTCTAAAATTGAAACATATCAGTTGCCATCTATGAATCCGTTATTTCATAACAAATAACCAATCCGTGACGGCCTTTCAATGCAAATTTAATATTTGCAACTTATGATTGATCACCTTCTTCGTAAGCAGGAATCCTCTAATAAGAAAATTATGATATGAAACGCAAGATATGGAAACTTGTGTAAACTGGGAGATATTTACTACATATACAGGTGCTACTGGAATGTTGCTTCATAGAAAGTTTATAACTAGGAAGATGAAATCATCTGTGTTGTCGTAAATTTTTGTTAAGGGGACCGTAATTGTCTATTACTAGATCAAAGTCAATATAAGAAGCAGACTTACTGTTTATATCGTATCGTTTGTCTCACATTACGTGGGATAGATGTGTTCCACATTGTCACATATCTCAGAATTATTCAGTAATATACTATGATACATACAGTGGAATGCGAAGTTAAAGGATAACACTAGCTTCGTTTCATTGGTCATTAGAAGCTATTGTAGGAAGTCTGGTCCATATGCATAAGTCCATAAGAAGAGAAATAACGATTTGCTATTAAAAAACAGGTCATCCAAACGTAAAACAATATATTGTCAGACACAACATTTTAACTTTGTAAGGACACTTATGCAATGAACATGTGAACTGATGTATTTATATTATTTCCACGTTCTGGATATTTGTTTAAATAACAGGAATTTAAACCAACGAGTTTTAATGTGTACACACTATATTAATATAATTTACAAGCAGATGTTTTAGCCACTGTACTATTAAAGGGTAATTGTCTCTTTATTTGTATGTTTGTTGATATCCAGGGTGTAACTCAGTAAATTTACAAAAAAAGGTGAATATACAACTCTGTTATTTACATGGATAAATAGCTATGTGACTTTTCATCGTCCAATGCCGTTATGTGTAGCAGAACATCTTATGTAAACCATATTTTAATTTTCCAATTAAAAAATAGACAGACAGAAATAATAGAAATAATAAACCAATGGTTTCTATCATGATATTTTGAAAGGACTCTATATATCGGCTGGTACAACTTACGATTACATGTTTCAAGCGCAGCTGATTGCAGTGATGAAACTAATATTCCGTTGCTACATTTGGCACTTGTTCCAATGGATGCTCTTTCAATTAACCATGACCAGAATGAAACAATTCTGCAGTCACAATTGAGTGGGTTCCCATAGAGGTGCCTTGAAAAAAAAAAAATGTATGAAGCAATATCCCTTAAGCACGACCAAACCGCATAGGAATTGCAACATTAATGAATTGATTTAATGAATTGATGAATATCAATGCAGATCATTGAATCTAGAAAATATTCGTTTTGGGTAAAATCTTGCTTTAAATGTAAAATTGTTAAACTGGAAAAAAAAAGTGTTAATCCAATTTTATTAACTTAAATATCAATCCAGTCTGGACATGATATATTGGAGTCAACACGAAATCTGAACATCACTACCTATCACACGTGACGATTTCGGTTGAGCATGTGTAACACTGCAGGAGGAAGTTGTATGGGAAGTCTGATGCGGTAACTTTGATCTTAAGAGGATCTGAAAAGTATGAACAATAAATTATTCAGTCAAGTTCAGTTTATCAGTCAATGTCAAGACTTATCCACTGGGATAAATTCAGTACTACTCAGACAGTTCCCTTGCAGTCAATTCAGTACTGCTCAGTATCATTTTAGACAATTCAGTATCAATCTGATGTGTACAGTTCAATAGCAGCTTCTGACCAGTCTGAACACAAACTGAACAGATCTTAATTTACTGCAAGTGAAATGTCTGAACATTACTCAATTTACCCCAGTAGAAAGGATTACAAATAGACTGAAAAACCAAATATTGACGGAAAAACTAAAAATAACGTAATAATTTAGTGTACGAGTTGTTCAGATCAAAATGACCGTTTCAAAAAAAAATTGTTTTTCTAGTGATTATAACATGCAAATAATGCCTTATAGAAATTGGGCACGATTTAAAGACTCTTGCAACGATACTAGCAATTCAATTCAAATGATGACCATCAGCACTGTGACTGACCTAGAACCAGCAGCATAGTATAGCAAAATTCGGTTACTTCACATGATAAACTTGATTGTAACAGCAACAGAAAAAGCATCAAATGTTCTAAGTCTCCGACAAATATCGGTAGAGACGGACAGAAAACGTACTCGAAAAACGGTTAATGCGCAAGACGTCCTTACTTTGGCGCAAGGTTGTGATGGTGCAACAGAGTACTGGAATGGAACCCACAAACCTGGAGGAAAGTCTAGTTTATCGTTTAAACAAGATTCAAGCTACAGAAAGAGATGGCCGTGCATTTGTTTTATGACGTCAGAATTAGAGGTTTTCTAGCAACCACGTCCTTGAGGTAGACAATTGTAGCGCGTAGGTAGTGTGAAGGTGTTGGGTGACATATTCTTAAAAACCTTAACTGGTGAACATCTTCCCAACCATAACGCCACTAGATACAGAGATCAAGTTTTGACACTACAAGTGGTGCCCAAAATGACCCTCCTTCGGAACATTTTTCAACAAAAATGCCACAATTCGGATTAGTACATAATAGGTAAAATTACAAATAAGACGACTAATCTGGTATATATAGTACTTAAACTGTGCACACATGTCGCTAGTGAGTAAGTCACATATATATCGTATCGGTGAACTAATTTTAAATGGTGACCATACAACTTATTAAGTATTACACTGTTTGCGCAGCTGTTGTGTAAATAATAGACCTTGATAAAGAAGTCTCAAAGTAATAAACATGCACGAATATCACGTATCGATTGTTATATGCTATTGTCATACGTTTGAGCAGATAGTCTGTAACTGCAGAGAAGAAAGAATTTGACATTAGGAAAATTGATATATTCACATTTTTCATATATTTGTGTCAATATCTTAATAAAAATTAAGGTATCAACCATCCATTCTAGCTTTGGTAGTATCCTTAACCAGTCGATATCCACGCTAGATATCGATCGAAACATATACTGATTATCTTTCGAGATATTAAAAGTTATGGTGTCAATAGTGTCGTTGGATAATTTTTTTAAAGATAATAAACACATATTTCCTCTCTTAATAGTTACTAGCAAGTGTCTATAATACAGAATAATATATTCAAAAGTTAATCTTTACTTCAAATGTCATAGAATTCGTCAAAAATGCAATGTTCATCATCCTGGTTAAATGTGTAATAAATAAATAAAAACAATAGTTTGTACATAATCGTAACAGGACATGTCAAGTCAATGCCTAATATACCAGGAAATGGCTAATCATTGCGTGTGACAAGGTTCTAAATTGAGAAGTAGGGCAACCGGACATATACACTATCAAAGAGTTCAGACATATCACTTTTGCTAAATGTATAACCAATGCCTTTATGAAACTCGATGCAATGTTAAAGGCTCTTTATCTAAGGACAATTGATAATAATTCATTTTAAAGGCTACAAAGAGGGAATAATAAGTCTTTCGGTTTGAATTTTAAAATTGCAACTTGTATGCAATAAACAATGATATACATTTCCGTATTGTTATTTGACAGATCATTTCCAGTTTTCAGATGCACCAATTAAATGTTTTTGAAATGAGAGGTGAACGATATCAAAGGGGAATTCAACTATCAACGCCATAGTAAAAAGGAAAGACATAGTTCATAACGGTCAATCAACTCGTGATGACGTCCGTATAATTTTTGAAGGGATAATTTGAACGTCACTACTTGGAAATCTTGTAACATATGAAACGTATTTTAACAATACGCTTTTTTTATATCTTTACAGGCCATGAACAACACAGCTGATTACAGATGTACAATGAAGCAATAGTGACAATTATGACCGTACCTACCTGTTTTGCAAATGACCACTCCACATTTGCATTGGTGAATTACAATAATGTAATAACATACTTTCTACACTTTTAATTGCCGGCCAGATAAACTAAAGGTACAATCGGATGTATATTTTTTAGTCCAAATTTCTCTTCATACAATTTTACCTCTTCGTCTTAAATAAAGCGACAGTATTTACCAGTATTAATGCTATTCCCTCGGGTTTTGTTTTTCACGTGATCTTGTCTTTTGAATTGTTTGAAGAGATATGGAACAACGGTAATCTATCGTTGCAATGATCTAAGAGATCTGCCATATGACTGGGTTTTCCATATCTAGTATCAAAAATATATCTTGTCGACAGCTTTATCTATTTAAGGTTACACGAAACCGAATGGCATATCTCCCGATTTCTAAATTCTTCTGCACACTGGTACTTTAAATCAAGTTACATCGGAATATGAAATAAAAAATGGGGGTCACCATTTTTGTTTTTTTGTAATATTTGTGAGAAAACGTCAGTTTTGGCGACAAATTTACATAAATATATAGGGAAAATACCTTTTTTATCTTATTTTTTTTATCTTTTTTAATGAGGGCTATGTAATTATATACGGAGAAAGACTAAAAACTAACATAATATCCAGGATTGTATACTGAATCCATGCATGTATAGAAACACATATGTCACCATCCTTGTTTTTTAGATACATTGCTTCAAAGTTGACCGATACGCTTAGAATTTGACAGAAAAAGTGTGACGTTACTGAATACAGAATAACGTTATTTTTATTCACAGGTATTTAAAAAATAAATTTAAATGGTGTTTGATATTTTATTTTCATTTCTCCTGTCGTAAATTTCCTACTTATTCAACATTACATTCGACTGAGTTAATTTTATTTCTTCCTAAAAGGGTGCGCTTTTAGCTTTTAAAAACTGAATCTTCAACTTAACCCTACTAAACTAGACAATGGTGATGATACCGATGGTCCATGCATGAATTAAATTAAGTGCTTCGAAAATTTGATTTGGTAAACTGATGTTGAAGTACAATTTGAATTGATTGATTGATGATTTCTAAACGTCCAGTGGCAAATATTTCATAAATTTTCAGGACGATACAATACAATTTAAAATAGTTGTGTCTTAAAGACACATTTGATGCAACCGTCAAAAAGGATAAAATATTCTGTTAGTTGTAAAAATTATAAAGAAAATCAACATCCTTATAAAATACACATTCTAAATATAGTACATTTTGTAAACGTGTGGTTGTGTGCATAGTCAGTCGGACAAACCTTGCAAACTGTATGCAAAATTTTACTTAAATAGACAAAGTTCAACATTCTGTCATTCGTGGACAATTGCCATATTCAGCAACCTGTCATAAAAAAAATTTGACAAGATGTGCATCTTTAGTATATGTACATAAATTATAGTACATAATTTCAAAGTTTAAGCTTAAGAAACTGTAGTCCTAAGAAATCAGCCGTATAAACCCTATATACCAAGTGCGGGACGGACTGTCGAAAGGACACGGGTAAACAATATGCTCCCAGCATTTTGTCTAGGGAGCAAAATGTATATTAGCATATATGATGATGTTCTATTTATAAATCCTTTGGTGACAAAATATCATTTTGAATAAGCAGTTCATAGTGAAATGGTAATTGGGAGATCTCAAATGTAGCAACGTAAGCAAGCTAACATCTACGTCATTTGGTCTTTGATGGAAAGTGTCTCATTTGCAATCATATGCATACTACACCTCCTTATTTCATAATGGATTGAGTTTTCTCCTGAAATACAAGAAGTTTAAAGACCAACAAATACGTACTAGGAGACTGAAAATTAATATGTTGCTGTTCAAAATCTGACGTTTGTTGTGAACATGTGATGTTTTAATTTGATAAATTTAATACTTGCCATACTAAATATACTTATTAACTTTCCAATTCAAGGGACCAACGAATCTTTACTAAAACTACAAATTAGCAGTACAAAAATACTCGTCCATCCTGCATTAGTCACGTGTTATCTAGATTTGGTTTTATGTGTCGTTAATTGGCCAGTTGCTGTTTTATTGTATATCCCACATTTCAATTTATGCACACACAGAAATAACAACCCTTTTAATTTACCTAAACACTTGTATACTTGTTGTAAAATCTCCTTACTGCAAATACTCTCGGGCTTTTCCCGACGCCTGTGTGAGCAATACCCCATCCCCAAAAAGGCACCTTTGCTATTCGTCTGTGAGTCGTTTTGTCTCCCCACTTTGTGAAAAGGTGCGTTATTTATCAGCTGTACCTGTACATTATGTCCAACAAAAGTGCAAATTAATAGGAATCTAAAATCAAAATGAATTTAGGATCTCGTTTTGTCCGTCCGGTCTTGTTAGCTCTCTCATGTGTATACAATTTTTGCCAGATTTGTATAAAACTCATATATTAGGTTTATATCAGAATTGTTGCTGACAAGTTTGAAAATAAGTAACGATCAATTATTTGTAAACGAGTAATGCCCCTAGGAAATATTGATTACATGGAAAATTGCGCTCTCACGTGTATACATTTTGCTAGATCTCTAACTAATTTATATGAAAGGTTTATATCAGCATTGTCTTGGATAATTTCGGAAGTCAGTGCCGATCAAATATTTTTAAAAGAGTTATATCGGAAATTGCATTGCATTTGCTCTTAAGCATTTTTCTATCAACGATATTTATAAAAAAAAAAAAAAATCAAAGCACCGATCATTCATTTATTGTGGGGCCACACGTTTTTAATGAATCGTTTGATTATAAATTTCGAGAAAATAATTTATTTCAGAATGGGAATTGAAAGAAAAAAATGTAACAGGATCTGAATGATTTAATTATATTTCTTCCTAACAGAGTGCACATTTAGTGTTGACATCCCATATGTTTAAGCCTTTGTTTACTTTCTCCTTATTCCGATGTAGCTGTCTTGTGTAGACTGTGCTTACAAGATTACAATGCCAGTAGTTTGTTTTAAACAAGCTTCCGAAACCATATCGGATTTCTTCTGTACAGTCCAATAAATTTCAAAGACTTTTTACACATGAAACATAGGGAACGTTGTTTGGCCAAATAGCCAAATTCAAATACTCTTCTTTTGTCATTCCATGCCAACAAACTATTTTCTGTCTGAGTTTATACTTCTGATTGTACTGTGCATTCGTTCGCTAGTATCTATCGGTATCCTTTTCCAAATAAATTTCCTTTTTCTATTTTGCTAGCGACGGTGACCATTTAAAAACGAATGGGCTTCTTAGTGGAATTGAAAAATTTCACAGGGAAACGGCGTGCATCATAAGTAGGAATGTATTTAAAAAAAAAAAAAAACAAACCTAGAATAAAAAAGGCCAGTCTGTTATTCATAAGAACACATAAAGATAAATCGTAAAATTGCTTACTTATCAATAGAAACAAAACGTTTCAAAAGTCCATATTTAAATGTAAAGAATGAGAAGAAGAATGGGAGGAAGACGACGAAGCAATCAATGTCAAATAACGTATTGCCACAAATCCCTCGAAACTCTGCATTCTATGCAAAGTTACTGTTAAACATGTTTATTAGGTTAATTTAAATTTCACATAAGTGCGATTTTTTTTTATTATTTCTCATTTTTGTTCTTTCGTGTAAATCGCATCTGTAAAGTGAAGTTTTTGTTTTGTGATTGTATATGATACGATTAGAAAGTAACGCTAAAATGAATTTTATACCAGGCTGAGGCAAATTGTTTCTTTAATTCGTTCTGAGTTGTTATAAAACATCAGGTTTTTACGTTTGCCGTCAACAGCAGGAACGATAAGTCGTGACGTAACGTCATTCGGTATCGTGTAACCTTAATATGTAGTTATCATCGGTCTTATGTATTTACTAGTATAATTTAGTTATTTATTTATCTAATCTATTTAATTATTTCACAGTATTTATGTGACATATTTTTGTTTTATTCTTTTAAGTCATTTTGAAATTCCCTATACCTTTTTAATGTATTTGTCCTCTTTTTTTTAATGTTTTTTTTATTTTATTGTGATTTTAATCAATATTATTTCAAACAGAATATTCCTGTTTATGTTAATTTTAATTAATATTCATCGTCACTGTTAAAACATTTTACATGCAAGTAACACATGATTTTGATTAACATGTAGTATATGCATCCAGATATATCAGAACTAAAATATATCCATCAACCATCTACTATTTCTACTATTTAATTACTTTTATCTTAAATATAACTTCTAGTGAAAATCGAGCTTACTGTCCATGATAAAAAATCACGGTGAGAGAGTAACTATCACATATGTCATTAAGAGCATTTCAACCATGGATCATATTTTCACAGTTTTTCACATTGTGACACTATTACCCTAGAACGTATTTTAAAATATCTAGGATCGAACTGTTCTAGAACTGATAAGAACTGGTAAGAACAATTCATTGACAAATTATACTGACAGTTCTAACGAGAGGATATAACTGACAAGTTAGGGAGAGGGTTGAGCGCTCACAAACATGTTTATCCCCGCCACATTCTTTATATGCCTGTCCCAAGTCATGAGACTGTCGTTTAGTGGTTGTTGTTGGTTCATGTCTTTCTAATTGTTTTTCGTTAATTGTTTTGTTATAAATTAGGCCGTTAGTGTTCTTAATTAAATTGTTACATATTTGTCGTATCGAGGCCTTTTAAAGCCGACTACATGGTCTGTTTTTTTTTTCATTGCTTACATCAACTCTGTTTGAACTTTGGTGGATTGTTGTCTCATTCATTGGCAATTATACCTCATCTCCTTATTTTTTTACTAACGCTAACAAAATGAAATAAAAAAAACTGACTGTATCCAATAACAAGCCAACATCTATGAATAAAAACAAAATTGTTCTTAGACAAAAAAAAAACAAAAAACAAAACAAAAAACAAAACAACAAAAGCGAACAGAATAAAGCAAATAAACAAGATGACAATAGTCAACATCTTTAATTGCCAAATATTCTTTATCAGCTTACAATAATATTTTGAATCTTAATATACAAATCCAACAGACACGATATCAGATGTCTACTTGGAATTTATAGTAACAATGTATATATGTTTTTTTTACATTCGTAAATCCTAATTACATACTAACAAGTAATTCAAAGACGTTAGGTTTCCAAAAGCGTGTTCTTTGATATGGGTGATATTGTTTGCACTCAAGTGTCTGTAATATTAATACTATACATTTTATCTAACATATATTCAAGAAAGCACTCTTACAACTTACTACATCTGTACAAATTTAGTTTATATGCTGACAAGTAAAAGAACAAACTATTGTGTATTGAACGAGTCCATAGATTTGTTTCTCTCTTCCATTGAAAAAATTAAGAAACGAAAAGTGGGTTAAAACAGCCAATTTGTTATACCTCTCGAAAAAAGGAAGTAGATTATTGTAGATACATTTGTTTTGCTGTTATTGTGAAACTTTCAAAAAGTACATTTCTAAAGGGCACCTTTTCGCTATTAGTTTGATTAATATAATTTTTATATCTTTGCAGGTTAAAGAAAACTATGAAAATAAGAAAATGTGGAATAAACTTAACATATTGCATTTAAACGACTCGAATAACAAAGTAGATCTCGAGGGCAAAACACATTCTTCAACAACAGACAGGTACACCTGTAGTATGGCAAGCTCTACAGAGTTTTGAGTTTAGAGTAGTTGAGGAGAGATTTAAATGAATTTAATCAACTATCTAAAATTAACATAATCATCATTCCTAATGCTTAATGTATAATCATGATAATTAGAAGAAACAAGTTATGTGTGAGTTAATTGCAAGTTTAAGAAACCAATACAGAATAATTACATCATGACTTACATGTAATACAAGTTTGTCATGTTGATAAAAGTATTACTCTCCAATAACTGTATCTTGTTGTTGTGAAAATATCTTAACAGATTAATCAATTCAACTTCATGATTACAAATTATTAAAAAATAGATAAAAATAGAAAACAATTAGTAGTAAAGCAAGTATTTGTACGATTGTTTGTTCTGTTAGTATTACCGGTTAATATCGTATGTCAACGTCTGCTTATTGGATACTTATATACACCTTATGGTTGTGCATAAACATTCCGTTGCATTTTCTGTAGGATCTACAAAGCATGGCTATCTATTGTATTGTATCAAGCTTTACTTTAGCATGCTATTCTGTGTGGCACATTTATCAACGTCATGTAAACGGATACTTATAGAGTTTCTTCTGTGTGAGAAACATCGCATAGTTTAATTCGTTTATTTTATTTATATTTTTAGCAAGAATCAGTCAATTAGTTTTCTGGATTAAATTGTTTCAGATTGTGTGTAACCAGGACCTTTAATAGCATTGCCAGTTTTAGTCACATTATGTGTTGTGCTCATTGTTGAATGTGAACCATCTTTAGTGTCATCCGAGTGTTATCATAGTTAACGTCTTTTCTACCGATGTATGATGTATAAGTTTTGAATAATGCATTAATTGTAATCTTAATAAATAATACAGGTACTCACAAATACCGGAGAGTTGGAAGATCCATAAAAGTGAATGATACTATTGTAGATATTTCATTGTAATACAGCAGTCTTAAAGAGAAGGTTACACAAGTTTAATTTGTCTATCATTTAACAGTCCAAATCTTAGAAATACATTGTTTAAATAATATGATGTTACAAAAGAATCAAACTAAAACATGTTTAAGAAGCATATGAATAACATGATATGTGTTGTAGACGTCTATCATACGACACAACTAGCCAAAGTTATATAAAGAGCATATATATTTCCATATTTCTGTGTGTGATAAAAGGTCAATACTTTTACATGCTAAAGATTTATATGACTAAAAGGAGTTATAAGATAAACGTCAATTATATCGCAACCAAACGAAATCAATAACCAAAATATATCTAGAGGTGAATATAAAGTCCTCGACAACAGACAGGTATCCCTGTAATATGACAAGCTGTGAAACTTCTCAATTCTTATAAAAATTGTTTATAGATTCATTTGCAATTATAATAACAACTCTGTCATTAACTTAAACACCAGGCCTAAAGTTCGTAATTACTTTTTGTATTATACGTGAGTAACTTGTTAGAAAAATGCAAGTTTTGAGAAATAAAACATAATAAGTGCATCACGACTTACAGTTCATACAAGTTTGTCATGTTGATAAACGTATTACTTTTTAATGACCGTATCTTGTTGTTATATAGATATCTAAAAAGGGAAAACAAACGTACTTTGGTATAGCATAATACACGCAGTTAAACACAACAATTCCTATCGGATACAAAAGTTTACTGATGTTCTAATCTATTAAATCTAGAAAAAAAGACAAATCGAAGTTACACACATACTTATAGAATTGCTTGATCTACAAATGAACGGAGAATTGGTGCTTCAACACGATACTCGTCTCCTGCTATACTTGGATCACTAACACGGTATTGTTCGTGTAAACGACACTCAGTAAGCAGTATTGTCTCCTATTTTTTTTACCTTTATGAAAAACCTAGACAATATATTTTAGGTCGACATTTAAACACTTATGGAAGCTTCTGACACTCACTGGTATCGATTGCAATGTTTTACACTGGTTAAAATCAAACCAAAGTATATTTCAACTGTTTGATGAACTACCGTCGGAAATAAAGTGTTAAATCATCAATATAAAACAAAATAGAATATGTCAGAGGTTGCCATATAATAAATTAGTTTAAATTATCTCACAATGATATCGTGTCTCACAGGAGAATTTAACTTGATATTGCGGAATCTTCGCCATACCATGAAATGTAAGGTCAATATTTATAAAGGAGTAACTTAAAAAAAACCATAATAATTATATAACGACTTACAGCCGATACAAGTTTGTCATGTTGATAAACGTATTACTTTCTAATGACTGTATCTTGTTGTTATTAAGATGTCTAAAAAGAGAAAACAAACGTACTTTGGTATAGCATAATACACGCAGTTAAACACAACAATTCCTATCGGATACAACAGTTTACTGATGTTCAAATCTATTAAATCTAGAAAAAAGACAAATCGAAGTTACACACATACTTATAGAATTGCTTGATCTACAAATGAACGAAGAATTGTTGCTTCAACACAATACTCGTCTCCTGCTATACTTGGATCACTAACACGGTATTGTTCGCGTAAACGACACTCAGTAAGCAGTATTGTCTTCTATTTTTTTTTACCTTTATGAAAAACCTAGACAATTTATTTTAGGTCGACATTTAAACACTTATGGAAGCTTCTGACACTCACTGGTATCGATTGCAATGTTTTACACTGGTTAAAATCAAACCAAAGTATATTTCAACTGTTTGATGAACTACCGTCGGAAATAAAGTGTTAAATCATCAATATAAAACAAAATAGAATATGTCAGAGGTTGCCATATATTAAATTAGTTTAAATTATCTCACAATGATATCGTGTCTCACAGGAGAATTTAACTTGATATTGCGGAATCCTCGCCATACCATGAAATGTAAGGTCAATATTTATAAAGGAGTAACTTAAAAAAAACCATAATAATTATATAGCGACTTACAGCCGATACAAGTTTGTCATGTTGATAAACGTATTACTTTCTAATGACTGTATCTTGTTGTTATTAAGATGTCTAAAAAGAGAAAACAAACGTACTTTGGTATAGCATAATACACGCAGTTAAACACAACAATTCCTATCGGATACAACAGTTTACTGATGTTCAAATCTATTAAATCTAGAAAAAAGACAAATCGAAGTTACACACATACTTATAGAATTGCTTGATCTACAAATGAACGAAGAATTGGTGCTTCAACACAATACTCGTCTCCTGCTATACTTGGATCACTAACACGGTATTGTTCGCGTAAACGACACTCAGTAAGCAGTATTGTCTTCTATTTTTTTTTACCTTTATGAAAAACCTAGACAATTTATTTTAGGTCGACATTTAAACACTTATGGAAGCTTCTGACACTCACTGGTATCGATTGCAATGTTTTACACTGGTTAAAATCAAACCAAAGTATATTTCAACTGTTTGATGAACTACCGTCGGAAATAAAGTGTTAAATCATCAAGATAACACAAAATAGAATATGCCAGAGGTTGCCATATAATAATTCAGTTTAAATTATCTCACAATGATATCGTGTCTCACAGGAGAATTTAACATGATTTTGCGGAATCTTCGCCATACCATGAAATGTAAGGTCAATATTTATAAAGGAGTAACTTAAAAAAAAACATAATAATTATATAGCGACTAACAGCCGATACAAGTTTGTCATGTTGATAAACGTATTACTTTCTAATGACTGTATCTTTTTGTAATTAAGATATCTAAAAAGAGAAAACAAAGGTGTTTTGCTAAAGCAAAATACTTTCAGTTAAACAAAATGATACTAATTGGATACAAAAGTTCATCGATGTTCAAATCTTTTAAATCTAAAAAAAAACAAAACAAATGTAAGTTACAAACAAACTTGTAAAATGTCTTGATCTTCAAACAGACGGAGAATGTACTAACAATCACTGGTATCGAATGCAATGTTTACACTGGTTAACATCAAACCATAATCTATTTCAACTATTGACTGCATTACCAGCGAAAACGAGTCTTTGCATATTGTAACATCTCAAAACTAAATGTGTTCGGAAAAATTATATATGATATCTGATTTGAAAAGTGTTAAATCATACATACAAAGCAAAATAATAGTTGCAAGATGTTGCCTTTTCATTCTCTCACAATGATATTGTGCCACACAGGAGAATTTAACTTGACCATGCTTATTCTTCGCCATACTGTTATTTGGATCCTTTTTGACAATTAGTATTATAACAGAATCAATGATGTATACACTTGTTTGTTCTGATGTATTTTTCACTTTAAACTGTCTATTATGATTCCTCATGCATCAAAATATTGATTACTGAATACTTACAAATGCATACACGTAATGGGTATGTACACACAATCCGTTGATTTTTTTAAAAAGGACCTGAAAGGCATGGCTTTCTAAATTGCTGACTCAAGCCTGATGTTAGCCTGCTATGACATGTCCATACTGTGTGGTGTATTTTTATATCCATTACTTATCAACTTCCTGTTTACCGAATCATTTAAGCAGGATTTTGTGGTGGGTAAAAAAGCATAGTTCAAAGTTTTGTTTTTCGTGTATTGCATTTGTATAAATCAGGTACTTGGTTTCTCGTTTAATTCCTTTTTGATTTTGTTCAGTTTTATTAAGGCATTCGGTAGCATTTATAGTTTTTTTGTTTTCGCGGTATGGGTTTTGATCATTGTTGAATAGCTTATTTTGACCTATATTTTATTGCAATCATACGTTATCAAGGTTTATGTCGTTTCTTCTGATTTCCGATTTTATTCTTAAAGTAGTCCGCTTATTGAAATCAAAATAAATAATAAACAGATACTTACAAATATCGAAGACTTGGAAGATTCATAAAAGAAAATGGTGCTAAAGTAGATATTTCGTTGTAATGCAGATATCTAAAAGAGAAGATTACAAAATTATTTGGGATATGTCCATCCTTTAAATAACAGTACAACACTTATAATTGTAGCCTTTGATAAATATTATGTTACCAAAGAACAAAACTAAACAATATCAAAGGTTGATATAGATAAAAATAAATAAGGGAGTATACCTCCATCTAACAAAACAATTAAAGTAGCATAGACGGCTGCACTTCGTAAATAACATCAGACAGCTATTCCTACAATATGTCAAGCTGTAAAAAGTCCAATGTCTGCAAAGGTCTCATATGAATGTAACAGAAGTCATTCACAACATTTTGTCAAAATAACCATGAACATTAAAATATGCAACATGAGAACAACTGACGTAGTCCATGACTCAGGCATGAGCCTCAGATGGAAATAACACTTATTTAAAAGTTGTCTGTGTAGTTTTTGTTGTTATTCAACAAAAAATAATTATTTAAGATAACTGACACGATATCATTCCATTAAGAATATCTTATGGTTACTTATTAACTCGTTGCAGCTCTGAAAGTTGAGGTCCTTTTACTGGAAGTTAACCATGGTTGACTTATAAAGAGAGCAATCCATCATTCAGCTTCATTTAGTGATATACATAGCAGTTTGACGGAAGTGGTTAATTGACTCGGCTATATTTTCCCTTTTTCAATACTCGACATTTTAAAGCAAGATTTAAAGAGATTTCACAAATTTATTTTGATTTTTACAAAAAAATATTTAATGATTTCTAAAAGAAAGAGCTTTTAGAATTAGAATAAAAACGATTAATTTAGTTTCGGCTTTTCAATTGTACACATTTTAAAATAAAAATGTGAACCTGTTAAATAGCGTTCGACAACAAGCATGGGACTGATTTATTATCAGGTGTGTGAAACTCTGTTATTGACACAATAACAAGAAGATATACACGACGTTTCATTTCATTTAGCTAGTTAAGGTAAAGAACCACGAACTCGGGTCCGTTCTGAAAGAACATATAATAAAGTAGTACACATTGCATACAAAGTAGTTCCTACGCATAGCTGTGACTTTTAAAATTTGTAAAATATTTGGAAAATGATGTTAAGAAATGCAAGCCGAATGATTGGGGGTCATTGTAGAACCTTTGTTAAATGATTTTAAATAATTGAAAAAATGTATGAAATTGAAAAAGGAGGGCATATATTGCCGGTTTCTCAGATCTTAAGTGCCTATTTTTGTATTTCCGAACCTCCGGTAACCAGTGCGGTCTTATATGCAATGAAGCGTATGATGATTGTTATGGCAAGGGTAACAAGAACGTATTGTTTTGGCATGGAATGAGTGTCAGTTTATTATAGAATTAAACACATTTTTTCTATAAGTTATTGATGTGTAAACTCGGGCGATTAACTCACAAACTGAAAAAAGTCCGAAGTGTGAAGTTTGTGAGTTATTCGCTCGCGTTTACACATCAATAACTTCTAGAAAAAATGTGTTTAATCCTTATAATTCTTAATTTAAATTTAGATAGTTGTTGTTTGTAATATTGTTTTATATGTGTGTTCCGTTTGTGGAACACTAGCGTTGCATATACGGGCAATGCGCATGAATATATTAGAGTGAAATCGACACACAGGGAGGCTAATGTAGGTCATCACTTATTCTCGTTAAAGACAAAAAAGTAAGAATTAACAACACATTCTGCTAAATAATTTTGTTTTAAAACACATACAGAAACAATAATAGAACAACAAACACGTTCAATGTTAATAACTGAATGTTTACAGTCAAGAGTAAAAATATCGGGATTTTGAAGCCGCGCCATCAACGTGTACACACGCTACACAACTACACAGCTCAAAAGTGCTACATGTTAGCTGAAATTGAAACTACAGTTGTGATATACAGAATTTGCTGCAAATCCAGACATTTTGTGGTTTTGAAGATTGTACTGACTGTTTACTAGAACGTTCTAATTTGGCATATCGAAAGAGCGGAGTGGGGTTCGTTCGGTATTAAGAACAGATTGTCCAGTTTCCGTGTTAGTGACATTGTTTTGAATTGGAAAAATTGCGGTAGAAATATAAGGGGCAACTGGTACAAGTGCTGCTGATGACGAAGAATTACCCGTTGCTACATTGTCTAACACCGAACTAATTTTTGTACTTCTGAACGGTGCTTGGTCTTCTGCAAGAGTATTTCAGACTTTCCTCACATTTATGGTCCGACATACACATGATGCTCATATCCTTTAAATCCGCATCATTCATGGCTGTAATAGCTGTAGACCTGAGTGAGTGCCATGTGTAACGTTTAACACCAGCATTTTTACATATGTCGGGCATGAAAGCCGAGAAGTTGTTAACTTTTACAGGCGTTTCATTATACCATGTGTTGTACACTGATGGACAGCGTAAGGCTTCTCGGCAACATTGGTTGAACAGTAATTTGGTAGCTGGATCACACTTGGATAGAACGTGCTTAATCGTAGTAAGAGGACAGGACGGAGAATTAGGTACGGCATACATTTTCTTATCTTGCATTTCTCATGTTGCATCATCTAGTCCACTCTGGTGGTTTTTTTGGTGTGTCTCGTGCGAAATTGACATGAATTCAGATCCCCTTTCATCACGTTCAAATTTGAAAGAATTTATATTCAACTGATAATGGAATTTTTACCCCACGGCTGACGAAATGAATGCCTAAAAGGTACCATACTCTGAAACGGAGTGCAACAGGGTCCTCTTTTATTATAAGGTAGATGTTAATTTTCATCAATTCAGGAGTTGCTATAGTAGGGTGGTGTTGCGTAGGTCTTGATGAACCATTGCGCAAATTAAATTTGAGCTTGGCACTCAACATATAGAATTTGCTGATTTAAATTCTGTGTCACGGACAATGTCAATGCTACGGCCAATATCTTTAAGATGTCTGTTTATAGCAGCACGTACATTTTTTAATGAATGTTTGTGATATTCCTGTGCTTGTTCTTCTGGCATTTTTAAAGCCCTTTTGGTTATGTTTTGAGGTTGAGCCTCAGCATAAAATTGCCTCAAACTGCTGTTCAGACTGCCTACAGAGACAGTCTAAGAGTCAACAGTATTTGCGATTCTTTCAGAACACCAGGCTGAAAAGTAATAATGTACAAATATAAATTTGATTACAAAAAAGTTCATCTGCTTATGTTTATTTTTTATCTAAGATATATATGCATATGGGAAGATCATGGTTTAGATTACTTTTGTTGTTTGGTTGCTGTCTTGTGAACCTATAGGCTATACGCCCCATCTCCTTTCATTCATATTTTCTAAAATATATATGTCTGTTTGGTTATTTCATTAGTTAAGTAAAAAAATACATTGTGTACACCAATCTCAAGTTTAGATTGTTTTTACCCATGGTCAATGGGCGTAAACAATGACATCGAAAACAATCAGTTCTTACTGTGATGTAATAACATAAGCATTGTGATAGTGTTAGGAAAAGAAGGGGAAAGAAGGGGAAAGAGCACAATTTTGGAATGTAGTCTATTTTTCACTCTCTGTTTTATTAAGTCATGTAATAAAACATTGAAATGTATAAGTTTTATATTATTTTATGGGGAGGGGGGGGGGGGGGGGGGGGGGGGCTCGGTGGCCGAGTGGTCTAAGTAGTTACTACTGCTGTAATCACTAGCCAGTCAACACTGAGGTTGTGAGTTTGAACCCTGCTCGTGCGGTTGCACTGGAGTCCAATCTTAATTGACTAGAATTTTCAGTTTTCCTATCGAAGGTCGGTGGTTTTCTCCGGCTTCCTCCACCAATAAAAACTGGCCGCCACGAAATAACCCAAAAGCGGTGCTTAAAAATGGCGTTAAAACACCAAAAATCAAAATCAAAATCAGATATTATCTTCTGTTGTGTTATTTCATGTTTTATGATTTATTTTAGCTTGTGTCATTTCAAGTCAAGATTTAGATGAATCAACTCTTTTCTGGGAAATGGTCAAGTTTTGATTTATATTGTCTGTCAAAACGGATCATTTCCTGGGTAGGTTTCATGGAAAAACAACAGCTAATTCAATCACTGTGTTTCAAAAAGATTTTTGTATAGAATCTTACCGTTAAAGATTCTAACTCCCCAATTTTGTGGTTTTTTTTTGTTGAGGCACTGTACTGATTTTGCTCTATTTCAAGCAGAGTGTCTTTGTCTAGATTTTTGAAACGTCTCGAGTTAGATGTCTTTTCTGATTCCTGTATTGGTGCAGGCTCTTGTTGATGTTGTTGTACCTGGACATCAACTGTTTCAGCAAAAGTTGTGCTTGGAAGTGTTTCTGTCAGTGTTTGGTCATTGTTGATGCTTGTTACAGCATGAAGCAGAATTTCGTCAAAGCCTTCAACTTCTCGGTGCATAATTTCGAAAAAGGTCAACAAATTCATCAGCATCAATGTCTTCTGGCAGTTATAATTCAAAAGTTATTGGAACATCTGGCATCGTAGATGTGTCAAAATCAGCAAAAAGCTCCATTTTTACAGAATTTTAGGAGACGACTTTTCAGATGAATGGAAGGTCATGTGATTTCCGTATTTTTTACCAATTAAAAAAATGGTTTACAGCAATAATTTTGAACTCCATTCTATTTAATTTTTACAACCACTAAAAATATAAATTTATACATGCCCGGTTATATTTACACAATAAGCGTTCGCGATTTAGAGCCGCCATATTGTTTACATTAGTTACAAAAATAGTTCCGGCAACACAGTCTATCGAACTGTAAACCAAGAATAGAAAGTGGAATTGACCAATCACAGTTAACTGTGTGTAGATATGCAAATCATATAAGAATTATTTAAACTTAAGACACAAAAGAGCTATGCAAGTTTAAAAATATAGAAAATGAACATAGAAAGCAACTGGACCATTAATTAGTGGTTTTATTCTGTAAACGTAAACAAAAGCTTTTCAATACTCATTTTTTGTTTTTTTCTTTTTGTTTTTAGATAACGTCGTCTACAACCGTACATATGACTTATAACGCTAGACAGT